CCCGATCTAAATGGTACAGCCATATCTATCCATCCATCCAGTGGTTGGAACGAGCAGACTACATTATTGCGGCAGTTTTCGGAGGTGCGATAATTACTCGAGGAAAAAAAACTATCGTATTTTTCTTGGGCGATGGGGGGGGGGGGGGGGGGGGTGCGAGAATTGTGCGAGTGCGAGGATTACGCGAGTAAATACGGTAAAAAAGTGCATCTTCATATCTTGGCCATGGCGTTTTGCACCTCAGCAGGGATGAAATGCAGGAACACCTGTGCTCATAAGTCAAGCTGCACTGTAGAGAAAACCAGGTTGCCAGAGTCAAATAAAAGTCCTCCTTTGTGGCTTGCTTCATAATTATGCTGTGGTTTTCGTATGAAAAACACCAGTAGTTAAAAACACTGAGCACTGCTGCTGTTATGCTTTTAGCATCATGGCAACATTCTGGGGCATGAAGAGTGCTCGTTTTACAAACGGCTTGCACTGAGGTCATTGAATTCACCATATTGAAGGGCCACATTGGTGATATTCTCAGTTTTCTTTGTGTTGATGACACCGAACCTTGTGAATATTTGCCAGGAATATAAAATTTCATCGTTAAATTAGGAACTTCATAAAATTGTGGTTTTGTTAGATGGAAGTCCAGCTGTATACTCATTATGAGCAGCTGAGTTATTCATTAAGTTATGTGGGCGTGTAAACAGACGATTTCATATCACAGATAATTGTTAGTTAAACGTGGATGTAACGAAATTGACAAATTCTCGGAAAAACTTGTTATAAAGAGGATTTTGTTATATGCAAGCTCGGTATGAAAATTCGGAAAATAAACGCACAAATTAAACAAAAGGGGAACTGAAGGCAGAGCTAATTAAAACACTTATTTAGCGGTAAAAATCTGCGTTATTGTTGCGATAGCAATTATATGAAAACGTTCGGCAGGCTTTTACCGTCACTGCCATGTTCTGTAACAAGTCCCCATTGATAACATGTCCCTGCGCATCGTAACTTTTACGAGTGGGTAAAAGCGCACTAGCGCTGCTGAAGCAGAGATCAGTTGAGCTGGCCCATTTCTATCACCTGGAGGGAGCATACGATAACATTCCCCCACGTCTTAGAACTGTCAACGAATGCTCAAACAGAACGGAACACCCGTCTTGAACAAGCACGAAAAAACGTCAGGCCTGTGCAGAAAACGTAGCACTGTCACAGCGAAAGCTAGAAAAGCAGTCTTTTTGAGAGCCTTCTTTAAACACTCGTTGGGTAACTGCTGCAATCAAACTTGCTTGATGCCCACTACGGCAATAATAATGAAAATTTTAAGGTAGTAGGCCGGCATTCGCTATGCTATTCTTCGTCATTCTTTTGAGAAGCTTGGTATCCGCTAAACAATTACTAGGAATTTTGTGGCTGACGACGATGAGCAATTATGCCTGAAGTGGGCATGCACCACAGTTAATAGCTGAACAAAAACAAGCTTTTGTGATGGGTTGGAGCATTGCACGACCTACTCGTTATGCTATTCGCATTGTGCGACGACTGCTTGCTCTTGCGTTGTTTTAAAACGCTTTATAGGTCATGTTAACGCTATTGCTATGCCAACATCAAGCCTGCCTAAGGCAAGTTTGCCGACAAGTCCCAAGCACCGGCGTGGCTCAGTAGTAGAATAGGGGGCTGGCACCCAGCGGACCTGGGTTTGAGTCCCACTGTGTCATTGGTACTAGGTTTTTTTGCTTTCACGTGATGTGGTTACGGACACCAACGGCGGCGGACAACTACGGTGCTGCACAAGACCTGAGCTGTAAAAATGCTGGAGGGCTGCGGTCGCTCGAGTAGCAACGGTGAACTTTGATTTTAAAGCCGCGATCGCTAGCGCGCGTGCTATTTGGGCAAGTATCAGTTCGCTTTCAATGGGAAGAGACTGTGTAAAAAAAGCGCTTCTCAGTGGAGCGGTCGTATTTGCTCACACTAGCGTTTTGTAGGAGTTCCACAATATCGGATCCAAAACAGTTGCCTGCCAGCCTTACTTCAAATATCATTACAAGTTGTTGCTATCGCATTCATCGCACTGCATTCAACGCGCCATTGTGTTGTTGCCAAAGCTAATTACAACGGCGGCAATTCTGTGAACTCATGGCTTGACGCAAGATGGAGGCGTGTGATGAGTTAACCTCCGAAGATCCGTCGTCACAGTGGTCTCAGAGAGTTTCCATAAGCGCCTAATCTGACATCCCATCGATAAGGACGACATGGTGCACTGCATTAAAAAAAAAAAAGCCCAATGTCGTAGTGGGCCACACCGTGAACGCGCAGTGAAACCGTGCACGTGCGCACAGCATTGAAACTGAAGAGCTAACAACATGCATACCGCGTAAAACTACATGTTCGGTAAAGCACTCCCTAATATACAGCGCGGCTCCACATATGTGACGCTGACTGAAAGCGTGGCGCTGCCAATGCAAAAGTTATTTTTTTTTTTTTTTGGTTGAACGAAGGGCGACTGCGGCGGCAAGAACGGTGACAACGCCGGCTCATGGGGCACAGGCCTGCCTCGCGCACCTCCGCGCTCAATAACGAGCGCTCGCTTATGTCTGGGAGTTTCCAAGGCCATGAGCGTGCAGTCTCTGCCGTCGCCACAGCTTTTTGAAGGCGGGGCACCTGCGGGAGATGCATGCTCATGCCAAAATCATACAATCGGAGGCTAAATTCCTAGATTGTCCGTGGGGAAAATTCGTTATATTGAGGATGTCTCCCGCTGTTACTTTGTTACATAGATGTTGCAAATACATCTGCTCCTATGGAGTTAAAAGGGACACTAAAGTCAAACAACAATTTACATCTGAAACAATTTACATCTAAAAAGACAATATTATCAACAACAGTGCCCTACTTACCGAGAAATTAAAGTAAATGCACAGGAGCACAAGCACCGCAGTAGGACACTTTAAAAATGATCCCGACGACATCAGACGGACCACCTACAATTAATCACTAGTAATCGATCTAACTTCACTAACTAAAGGATGTTCCGTGTATTAAGAGACGCAATAAAATGCTGCTTGTTCGTTTCTGTTTGATTAATGGAAACAAGAATCGCCAGAAGTTACTGCGTGGAATGGCGCGAGTGGTTCAAAAATTCGATTTTCGCGTGGTTACACAGGCCAGGTGGTGTCATCTAGCGAGGCGTAGTTCAAACAAAAGCGTCTACGATCTGGAAGCCAATGTCGGAAAATTGATTAATGGCCGTTGTTGCTGCTGTGGCTTCTGCTGCTTTCAGTCAGCTGCTACTAGCGCAGTAAAGCCGGGGAACGTTGTGCATGGCAACAGGGACGTGAGACGGACCGGTTGGTCCGCTTCTTGACGTGGGTAGTTTGAAGTGCGCTAACTTGATGCGGAGCACTAAAACGTGATTTTATTTTAAAGTAGTCCCTTTCTTCACACAAAAGTTACACCACGAGGTTTCTGGACCACCATTTCAACAATCAACGTTGACTTAATAGTTGACTTTAGTATCCCTTTAAGGCAGGGATTAGAAAAATATTGTTTTAATAGAAGAATTCGTTATAAAGAATTTTGTTAAAGGGACTTAACTATATAAGTTCTTTGTAACCATAAATCCTGTATGCGGTCTGAGCTGTACTGTGAAACCCTGTTAATACGTAGGTAGCTGCCAGGTACGGCGGCATAGTTACGCACTAAACATACTATGCATTAACCACCAGCTACAAATTTGCATCTCCTGTCATGTGCTGTCGTCGCCAACGAAGGCACAAATTAATTGCAGCAGGAAATAAAGCCTAAAGTGCCCACTGCGAAGCCATTTCTTTTCTTTTTGCCAAAGTGCAGGAAAGATTCTGTCTCCCTCACAAAACCATCCGATAGCACGTGGTGGCTAAGCCAAGAAGCATTTCGCAATTACTGTGGGGTCCGAGATACGCAGCATGGCACAGTGACAGAACGGACATAATCGACTGTCCGGGATACAGTTTCGTTACACAGTTGTTCCGCGTAAGCAAAAACAGACGCAGTTTATGCGGTACGGTCACAAAAGGCCAAATCGTTTACTGCATGACTAGTTGCATGCATTGCTCTGCGCACTCTGCACACACCGTGACTGTCAATCCAGTTGCTGTAGAATACACCCATTCCGCTTCAGGCCATATGCACAGATGGGGTGAGTAGTCTCGTGGATTAACGCAGCGTCGACGAGCTTTCTGCAAGTGATGCGCTCTTCGTGATGCTCTAGAAGTCCTGGCAGCAGACGGAGGTGCGTTTGGGCTGTCGCTGAATAAAAATGTGCAGTATGGCTACAACAGTGCTACACTTGCTGTACCGTGCGTGTGTTGGCACAATGCAACCAGGTTTCTAGGTGCTCGTAAGCCGCAACGCTAAAATTTGCTACCGCGAGCTGTTTCCATTTCTGTAAAGTGGTGCGCGGTTGAGCCTTGTCTTGCACAATGAAGGGGCAGCGATAGGTGGCCCAGCGCACTCAGATAGTCGCCTGCTAAAAACGTGCATTATGCAGTAAATGTGGCGCTACGCAACACGTGTGCCTGACCAGATAGCCGGGGATGCTTACTTTGATAGGCTTTTCATGGGCAATAAGTCATACTGGCGTGTTTGTCGGTGGCCGCCACCTTGCCTTCGTTTTTTTTCTTGATTACCTACATATTCATCGCTGCAGTCACAAGAACGTCTGAATAACCGATCGGCTGATATTATCAACAGGACGGAAAACCGTTTGCAGCACATTGTGGCGTCTGCAAGTTTATGCGCGCAGTACAATTTTCTTGCGCAAAATTTTATTGTGGTACTCAGTTAGGTACGTACCAACAAGCAGTCCGCAAATGCATCAGTCTTTATCAGACTCGGTCAGGGATTTGTGGCAACTATGTTTTCATCGTTAGTACTCCTAAAGTGGGTATGGACTTACGAGGTTTGACTACATGGTTGCTGGTGTGATTCTGAAATGCAGATCGATCTGGAATTGATTTTGTCTGTTACAGCTCTTCTTCTGCGGAACCTGGATGTACTTACGACAGAGGAGCGCGTCCTGGCTGTGCTAGGCCAGACGACCAACGTCCCTATTAAGAGTCTAAAAGTGGCGCGTGACGCCGCCACAGGTGTGTCACGTGGCTTCTGCTATGTCGAGCTGCACACCGTCGCAGAGGCTGCGCAGCTGGACGATCTGTTGCTCAACCTGGGTGGCCAGTTTTACATTGACGGTCGACAGGGTGAGTGATCCGTGTGCGTTTTTAGCGTCGCTTACTGTGAGCGCTAACCTAGCTTGCTTGAAAGACTTTGTAGGAGCTGCTCTTTTGCCTTAGTGCCTGGTGTGGCGTGCACGATCAGCTACATTCAGAGGAAACCCCTCGTTCAGTCGCATTTTCAGCATCCATGTCGCTTCAATGTTTACATTCAGTGCGCATATGCTGCTCTTTTAAGGAACCCTCTACTGTTTCATGTCATCGGTCATTGGAATGATCCACCACACCATGTTGTGTCTGCAATGAACCACAATGCGCTTTACAAGGGCTGCGGTTTGCTCTGCATCATTTAATAATTATATGGCTCTTTATGTTTAGGTCTGGCACCTTGTAAAAATATTTTATGCTTGTACTGTAGATAAATGTTCTTTTGAAGCTTCAACTTTAATAACAGTGGGCTAATTTTTTTTCATTTTTTTATATTGTATAACTTTTAATACCTGGTTTGGTTCAGCTGTACAATTGCTGACAAATGAGGGAACAGCTTTCTATTCTTACTTCTAGGGTAAACTTTGGTGGCTGCTGTAGAGCTCTCGTTATGCTTCCACGCTGAATTGCCGATTCCGTACGTTGTCTCTTTGTAAGAATGAGTCAATTTTTTTTATCTAATAAGTGATCTCTAACTCGTAATGCAGTGCTCGTGGCCTACGCACGCAAGCCAAGGACCACTTCCAGGTAAAATCTTTGCTTTTTACGCTTCTTATTTTGTGGGCACACTACCTAAGGTAGTCAAATGTGCAATCGTTAGCATGCATTGTGGCAGCCAACATTGCGGAAACTCATCACTTCTTTAAAAATTTTGTCAACGTTAATAATGGGTGATGATGGTACAAAAGTGTTAGCCTGGGATAAATACAGTGTTGTAATTTAATTATGCTTTAAAAGGAGGAATATTTTGTCGTAGTCACTATCACAAAAGAAATTTTTTAGCCTGCGCATAGATCGATTTTTGGGAAAAGTTCTTCTTCTTTTATTGCCTACTTCACATAATTTTTTTTTGAAAAGTTGCATCTCTTCTTGCCTTATCTGATTTTCTTTCTGTTTAGATTGTGTTACGTGTTATGGTACTTTCATTGCTGCTCACAGGTGGGGCTAACTTTTTTTTTTTTTTTCAGTGCGGTAACAGCCAATGTTGCGAGTGTTGCATTGGCTGCAGCACAGTGGACAAACCAGGTGAGTTGAAAATAGAAAGTTTTCATTGCATATTTTGATGCAACTGCAGTAATGTTTCGTAAATATATGCAGTAGAATGCCGTTACAGAGAGTGGTAATGGGCAGTTTTTTTGTTAATTTTATTCACGTAATCCTCATTACAACAAAGGTGCATCTTACAAGGAAATAAGTTTGTTATATCTGGAAATTTATTATAAAGGTTATTCCAAACACTGTATCTATTGTAAAACTCTATTTCATTCACTTTATTATGACCCATGTTTTGTTATATTTGTGTTCGTTATACTTAGGTTTGAGTGTAATTAAAGTTTTAAAAATGCACAATCAAAAGCCTATTGTTAAGATGTGAAAGTGCTGCATTGCTCATTCTAGTATGCTGGATGTTTGAGCATAACCTGATTATCGAAAGATTGTGCTTTTCTAATGTTGGGCCGCATTTGAAATAACAAAGTGGGAGCAATGAAAGAAATTTTATATGCCAGTTTGCATCTTTGTTGCATAGTACTTCAAAAAGAACAAACAATTCTTGGCAGTTGTTACTGCATAGTTTTTGCTTTGAAATCTCGCTCTACAAAGTAGATAGGCGGTGACTTTGTGAAAGTGTTGATTCTAGCAGGTGAGTGTACACTGTGGAGTGCTAATTGGCCGTCTTACGTTTTCAGCCAGCGACTCCTGGCAGTGCAACTACTACTCAGCAGGTAAGACATTGCTTTACATTTTAATGCTGCGGTTGATAATATGTGTTTATTGGCGCTAAAGTAACATGTTACCAGAGGGCGCAAAACAACATTGAGGTTGGCCCATGGCTGTTACGACCAAACTGAGACTACGGAACGGGAATGTGTATGCAAAATAATCGCAATGCATGAATAATGTAAATGTAGAAATAGGACGCCGGCTGTTTCTTGGCCAAGACTTGGCCCTCAGTTCACGGCTTTGACAGCAGATGTGGAAAAAGTTCTTGAACCGGAGATTGTGCGCTCATACCAAACTTGTCTGCAGATTGTCTTCAGCTTTGATTTCCCCTTCAATATTTTCACATTTCAACTCGGACGCAGTTCACTTTGTAACATCTCTAGTCTGTAGCTTTACTTGGCCATCCCGGCTTTACGTGGATGCGAGTTTTCGCTGGTGAATTCCGGCCCTCTGCAATGTTCATTCACTTCACCAAATAAGGCATTCAGCAGTTCCACGAGTCGTACAGACAGGTGCGTGGGCGGTAGTACTGAAGTGACATTTACTTTTCGAAGGAATCGGATTTTCATTAAGGTACACAAATACACGGTAAGAAACTGCACGAGCAAAACCATTGACAAGTTGAGCTTGTGTGCATTTTCTTGCTGTGTCCTTGTGTACAATTGACCCAGGTTCAGTTTGTCTTGTAAGTATGAACCATCTTGCCTTTTTGAGGCATTTGTCTCTAAATGTTTTTTTTTCCTCTGTTAATACCTTCTAAACCATAAGGAATACACTGGCCACATCACCATAAGTAACTACGGTACGCTCTTTTCAACAATCTTTAGTAATTGTTTTTCTGGGACTGTTTAGATACCGTATTTACTCGCGTAATGAACCCACCTTTTTCTTTTTTTCAAAAAGTTGATGCCAATTAGGGGGAAGGTTCATTACACAGGAGAAAGAAGTCGAGATTTATAACTGCAAAAATTTCGCATGATGGAATTAAAGATCTCTCTGTCTTACCACTGCTGGACTTCAATTCAGTGGCAGGACTTTGGTGCCTCTATTCGAGAACTATGCAACATATTTTTTTTCGTAACCCGTACATGCACTATCTGCACAGCCGCATCGCATGTCCCAGGACATCAGCCGCACGCGAGCAGAAGGTGAAAGAGCGTATCGGTAAAGTTCTTTTGCCCTCCGTGTGCATGCAGCACGGCTGTGCAGATAGCGCGTGTGCTGGCCTACGTGCACGGATCGATGCTGAAACTGTCATCCAGCTGCTCGGTTCCCATGCTCCAGCGTATGCTCGATCAATATTAAATTTAAAACCGGCCATGTCGCTAGTTTATCGGCCGATTGTGAACAAAAACACAGCGTCGGTTGATGGGGCCAAGTTGCGCTTTGTTTTTGCTTTGTTTTCACGCCACTGTACTTGCGTGGCACTACAAACTGAAGGTTTCTTTTGCGTTCGAAAGATGGAGCTCTGTCGCAAAGAGGGCGATTCTTAAATGTGGATCGACAACGTCTGCACTCGCACTGTTTGCAACTCTTTAGCATGGTTGTTAAACTATGTTCTGACTGATTATTGCATAAGTATTCTGTGATATGATGGTGTGATTTAATGTTGTTTCGATCGTCAACGGCACTGGCTATCACCCAGAAATAAGATGCATGGATACAACAAAAAAAACATTTTTTATTTATTTATTTTTCATTATGCGAGTGGGTTCATTACGTGAGTAAATACAGTAACTAGGAAGTAGGGGTGAGAAAATATTCAAACTTTCAAATATCTTAAAGTAGTGTTTCTGTTCAATTCAATTTCCGATCCGGCTCTAGGTATTCAAATCTAATTACAGTCAGTGTTCGACTTTTCGTACTCTCTGGAGAATGTGAAATCCAGATGAAAACCAGATGTAAATGCTTTGTGTTGCCATACATGAACTCGTAAATGGCGGCTGCAGTCTTCCAACAGGAAGTGCGAACATGCATATTGCCAAACAGTATTTTTTTCCCTTTTTTTTAGCTTTTTGATAAGTAATTAACGTAAAAAAGATTAGTTAGTCCTCTGACAGTGCTCCACATTCTGTATACTGATCATGTCAAAAGAGCACAAATGTATCTGTTTCATTGACGTTTAACCAAGTGAGTGCTTCAAGGTGGTAAAATTGGCAACTGTGCAGTTATTTAATAATAAAATAAATCACAACAGGAAAAATCTGAATATATTTAACTTTCTGCTGTTAAAAAGTATGATTTGCTTGCGTGTTGCATCTAAAGCCAAGTGCTCTATTATGAATTGCATGTATATTTTATAAATATTGTGCACAGATGGGAAACGTATTTTTTAACCTCTTATCCTGTGTTGTTTTTTTAGAATAGTTCTGTCTAAAAAGCGGATTTCTTTTTCAAGTTGAATTAAATATTTTGCTTCTAAACAAGGATGCTCTGATGGCCAAAAAAATTTGTGTATGCTATTAAAGGGACTGTCTACCGTCCTTTATTGATCTCCCGTTTTGTGTCACAATAAAAAGCGTACCATGTGAAGTGTCTAAACTTGTAGCGTTTTCTCAGGAAACACGTAGAAATTTTCAAAACAGAACTTTTCCGTCCCTGTTTTGTCTCCATTCATTGGTGGGATGAATGTCCACAGCACTGGTCGGTGCCGGTGAAAGTTAAAAACTGAAACCGCATGCGGTTTTTGCAGGCTTGGTCAAGTTTTGTTTATTAATAAAATAAATACCTTAGTGGTCGTCCTTAACACGCACACATGTTTTTGTTGTTTTCATGAGTGGCGGCGGATGCTTTGCTCGCATTTTTTCGCAGTTTACAGGCAGGCATGCAGGCAAGCAAACGCACCACCGAAAGACTATTTGAACGCGTGAGAAAAAAAATAAATAAATTAGGCTCTGGTGCAACCTAAAGCAGCGTTAAGTGCATAAAATACAATTTACAGTTACACGTGTTTGTTTTTAAGCAAACTAAATCTTCCTGCAAGGATTTCTTGTCCTACCCATAAACTGTCAAGATTGACAACATTCGCTGTTGGATTACACTAGTGGTTACGCTTTATCGACTTCGAACATCAAGCTAAAATTATAATTTCTTTTTTCTGGCACGAAAGCCTGCTTGTTGCTGTCGATGTGATGAACAATCTTTTCATTTGTGCCACAATCGGAAAAATTTTTCCCAGCGGTAGACAGTCCCTTCGAGTCAAATTAGTATAACGGAGTTGATGGTCCTGTGGCCTAAAAATGTATCCACAATTAGTGAAATGCCATGGGCAAGAAGTTAAATATAACATCTTGAGTGATCAAAGTGAACTTCAATATCTGCGAAATTAGCACCTAAAGAGATGTACTATGACGAAAGGCTTCTTTTTCATCACGATGCATGAGTGATTCAACGCACTGCCTTCGCTGGACAACATCTTCTAAACACAAGTTGCAAAGAAAAATTGTGAAATGGTGGTTAATAAAAGTGTAAAATTGCCAAGCAAATGCTACTATCTGTGAATGGGAAGCTGACACACTTTTTTTCAATGGTGAGTTTTCTCTGCCATAAGAATTTCCTGCATGCACAGACGACTGTGAGTACTGTGAGTACGGCTGTTTTCAAGTTGAAAGTGATTGATCATGCACTAAACAACGGCAACAGGGCCGCCGGTAGGCCCTTCGGAGTCGACGAGTTTTGTGTTCACTACTGGTGACGGCAGCTGAAAGCCACCAAGACGCGTTGGGCCTGCCCTGTGCTTAAGACTGGGATTGATGGTAAACTTTATTTCTTCAGAAGGAAACTGTGGACGATTCTGTTAAATAGCCATCAGCCCAATACTGACATCCTACGCTTATCTTTTGAGGGCTCTTGTTGAGCGACGAACGCTACGCTCGCGAAGCCCACAAGCTTTGCGTATGGTATTTTAATTCTCGACTATTTGATTGCACTTTTTATGTCTGAAATAAATCTTGCCTTGTGTTTTGTGTTGAACAACTGCTTTTATTGTTTAGGTAAATTTTAATTAGTACTTTTCAAAGCTTGCTGTTAGTTGCTGGTGTGAGAATCCCGATTTGCGGCCATTTCGTTTTCTTGTTTGCTCTGTACATTTTCGTGGAAAGTTTTCTCCGCGTAATTCTCGCACCCCCCAACTTTGCATCTGTTTTCCACCAAAAGAAGTGCGAGGATTATGCGAGTAAATACGGTAAGTGCGACGCTCAGCAAATGCTGATATTTTATTTTAGTATTAAAGTCAATTTTTGATAGCGCACTTCTTACCAGCATCGGCACTTTCTTGACGTCGGGCTACAGTACTAATCCTAGCGACTTCACGCTGCAGTCTTGCTAGTTGTGGTGACGACAGGTACTGAAACTTTCCAAGATGGCCGCTAGTGTGTCACCAACAGAGCTGCGGATACGGTGCGGGCACAGAAACATGTTGTACTTTGTGTGAGCATATCACGAGAAGTTCTTATAATGTTGTGATGCCAGGGTGCACTAGGAAGAAAAACTAGCTTTTAAATACATACTTTAATTACTTCTTCACAGTGCGCTCGTACTTTCCACTACATTTTTAAGGCTCATGATGGCTTTGTTTTTCATTAGACGTGAGAAAAAATGAGAAATGAAGTTTTTGTGTTGGCAATTCTTACGAACTTGCTTACGAACTTGCTTGGAAACGATCCAGTCTTGTAAAAAGCGCTCAGGAGAAGGTATTATCTGAAGTGGGACGAGCCAGTCCTTGTCCAAATTGTTCAATGGGTTAAAAATGATTTAATTTTCTCCCCCTTTCCCTTTTTTTGTGTCCAGTGGACTTTCGAATACAAACATTAAATGTTTGGTAGCTGTTGTAGAAAACTGCCGTGATTTTTTGTTTATTTTTTGTTTAAATGATTTGCATTTGAGTTTGTTTGTATGGCTTCACTGCTAGAAATGCTACAAAACAAATGGAACAAGTGGACTTAGTGATGCTGTGCAGCAGCTTTTCTAGTCCCGCTTGTTTGAGCAGTTTCTTGAAGTGACGTTTGTCGTGTATGGTGTTTGGAATGTAGACCTAGCTGTGAACATGGGTGTGCAGGCCTCAGTGAATGTGGCGGCTGCACCAGTGACGTACGGCCCCCATCCCCCCGAAAGTGGCGTCGCGTCTGCTGCTACTACAGCAGGCCAGGTAATCCCCTCGCCCCTTTCTCTCCCTCCCCACCTGCCTCCCCATACCCATGCAACATGCTGAGACAACACCTGTAGATTTGTAATGAGCTAAATGCATGAGCAGAGGCACGGAACATGCTCAGCAAGAGAAAGTGGGCCCCTTTCTTGCAGCGGTGAATCACTTTAATACAACCATAGAGTTTCCTATTAATAGGATATAGGGAACTTTGTCGCTAGTGTCTATGAGAGCTGTAATGCGCAGCACTTCAGCGAGCATGGCAATGTTGGGTAGTACACAGATTTGTCTAATTTTCGTACTTTCAGCTCCAGTTGGCTTTGCGTGGTTTGAGGTTGCTTTGTCACGTAGCGAAAATCGGCAGATGTATAGCAGTTGCCTCTCACTACTTTAACCTTTTATACTTACTGTTTCGAATCTGCTCACAAAGCTTATAACCGTCCGCTCTTTCATTAGAAACAAAATTGAAACATGGCAATAATTGAAGCCACAAGTGCATTAGATGCCTGCAAGCACGAAGACAAGGCAAATCTGTGTACTACTCATCATTCCCATTGTCGCTCAACGATCGCAGCGCCAGAGTCCCCCTCAAGTTAATTTTAGGAAACTCTATAAATGCAACTATCTCAGCTCCCAGATGTCCGTAATATGAAAATGTCACTGTGCCAAGAGCATACCTAGTTGGAATTTGTTTTTTGTTTTTTCGGAGCAGCTGCTCACTTCTCTTCATATAGATTTGTGCACGTGCTTGTATGGGAGTGCCTACATAACACCCCCAAAAAGGGGCAAAATTTTTGATGTTGGGGTGGCAACCACGAAAATCGCTTCCCTGGCGGCTTTTCCAACATTGTGTGGGGGCAGAATAACTGAAAGAATTCAGCAATACGTTGAAGGAATGTAACACAGTAATTCATGAATATGCATGCTTGCTAACACAACAAAAAAACAATCATTTCTTTAAACAGCATCACAGGGGGCCTGCAAATACAGTTTTCTACAGTTGCCTTCAGTATAGCCGGTAAAACACGGGTGTAGTTGATTTTGTGCGCCTGCTTGTGATCGAAATACAGTCGTATCTCAAGCTCACAGAATTGCATGTGCATGCAGTTGTCTTATAGAACTGCACTTTGGCTTCACGAAATGCTTGCACCAACAGTGTTCGTAGGGGGCTACGTGGGAGAGGGCACTTAGCCGCTTCCGTCCGTATCCATGTTGAAGAAGTCTAGATGGCTCATTCCTTCCTCTCCCTTTTTCGGGGAGACGCCTCTCCGACGTCCAGAAAGCACTTAGCCTCCTTGACGGCCTTTTTGTCTTTTGACTCGAGAGCTGTGACTGATGCCACTCAAACGAGTCGGGACTCCTGCGCGCAATGACCTCTGTGTGCGACTCGCGTCACAGGGTCGGAGTGCAGAGGCTCGAGAGGTTGGTTTGAGCCATTATTGCTTTATCGTGCGTTGTTGCTCGTGCGGAATTTTATGCCACTTTGTATCTGTGTACAATTACAGTAGACTCTGCATAAACAGAAATATCTTCAGCAATAATTCGCCCAAATGGAACAACTGCCGCTGATATGTTTGATTTCATTACTGAATGCTGGACCCCTGTTCGTCTCTCAGTTAAACGAAACTGCTGTTAAACGGAACGCATTGTACATGTCTTCTCAACTTCCGTTTAATTGGCGTCTACTGTATTGATGCATATGTTGGTGTACTGACTAGGCATGGGCGAATAATTGAGTGCTTCAAACAGTAAAACAAGTATTACAGCATTTATATTCACTTTAACAAAAATTCAAATTATTGGAAATGAACTAATAAACATGTAATCCACCGCGTCCAAACCCCCCCCCCCTTTCTTGTGCCCTGGAAATGTAGTTTCTCTGCAGCATGAAGCTGCTGTGCTGTAAAACTGCCTGTCCTGTGGAAATCCACAATGTCACAAAGCCATACTTCAAAGTTAAATGTACATACTACCTGCTTTTCAAATGAATATTTTTATGTTTAAAGTGTCTTATACGGGCATATGTGTGTGAAGTATAGAAAATTTCAAAATTTTACATATACTTTCGCTGAACTGCGAACGAAGAAATAAAAACATTTGCACATACCCAGCACATTTCTCAAAACTATTAAAGCTAGTCTGGTCGTGACGAAAATGCTCGCTTCTCTTTATAATACGAGATCCATATACAATAGTCCAGCAGAATCCTGTCTGGTTGGGGCAGACACAGTGGAATAAAGAAATACCACAGTACAGATAAGTTATAATGCAACCATTTATAGAATTGGACCTGCTATAATGCTGTTTTTCCTTTACCCTCCTGTGTACCGTATTTACTCGCGTAATTCTAGCACTCGCATAATTCTCGCACCCCGCACATCGCCCAACAAAAATAGACTTCTTTTTTTCCTCGAGTAATTATCGCACCCCCGAAAACTGCCGAAATAATATCGTCTGCTCGTTCCAGCCACTGGATGGATGGATGGATATGGCTGCAGCCTTAAGATCGGGCCGTGGCTAGCGCCACCAAGCTGTAACACTTAATGAACCAAAAACTAGATTTATTTTTTTTTCCCCCTTAAATAGTGAGGTTGAGGATTCGTACTTCGCAGTGACGGGTTTAATTTTCACTCGTGCCTTGGCTTTAGCCACCAATCAGATAACCTCCTTCTAGTTAATTCTACCCGCTTAGTCTATTTTGTCCTCCCTGTCCCTAAACCCCAGTGCTTTGAAAAACTTTGCGCCATCATCCTGAACAATAGGGTGAAGCCCTTTACAGAACATTAAGTGTTCGGCAGTTACTTCTTCCTCTCCACACGCACTGCATACCGCGTCTACCCTTTCGTATTTGGCCCGATATGTCTTGGTTCGCAATACTCCCGACCTGGCCTCAAACATTAGAGGACTACCCTAGTATTGTCATAGATCCTTTCCTTCGCAATTTCCTGCTTAAAAGTTCGATAGATCTCTAGTGCGGACTTCTTAATCATGCCAACTCTCCACATATCGGTCTCAGCTTCCTTCACCTTCTTCTTAACCGATAATTCTTTTTGCTTTGGCCCCCTGCTGTTTTCCAAGTATTTACCAGTCAATTTTCTGGTTCGCTTCCTTCATTTTGTGTCGGCATTCTTCTTGTACACTGATGATAGCGCGTGCCATCTGGCACCATCTCTTAAGGGGAGATGAGAGTCGAAAAATTGCGTTTTTAGCGAAATTTCTCGTATTTCTGATTTTTATTGCATTGTGATCTTCAAACCTCCTCCTTTCATCTGTGAAAATTTCAAAACTAAATTCGAACCGCAAAATGCAAAAAAAATGTGTATGAAGGCATCGCGGTGGCTCAAAATTTCGTGAATTTGCGCCGATATTGGCCATCTTTGACTGCGCGCTGCTCCCCGTCGCAGTGCCGCCCGCCATCGCGATAGGTTGGGAAAGTTGCGTCCGGCCTTCTTCTTACAGCTCCGACGACTGCCAGTTTCGTACGTGGGCAAAAAAAATAAAAAACGAGGCCTTTTTATCACGTGGTTTGAGCGGTTTGAAACGCGCTGCACCCTAAGCCGCATCGCCATTGGCTACCGAGTCATTGTCAGCTGTGTTGGTGGCGGCTATCGGCATTTGGTTCGTCTGCTTTTCTGCGCGTCTACGCATATTTCCGCGATGACAAGCCCGAAAAAGTGCAACCTGAAACCGCAGAAGTTTCAAACGAAGCACAAGTTCAAGGGAAGGCGGCGCAAAGCGCCCCGAACGACGGCGACAAACGAGAACGCGCCTACGTGTGCTAGGCCTGACGGCGGCATCGACGAGTGCGCGAGCGACAGTGGCTGCGATGAAGGGATTGACGCTGCGCTTTCTTTCGTCAGTGCTTCGGAAAAGAAGCTCGGCTTCTTCGAAAAAGACGAAAGACGGCGCGATGAGGTTTGTGCAATGACAGTTTTGTGCGACACCCTCTTGCTGACGGCACTTGTGGCAGGTGCGGCATGCCCTGCTTGCGGTATTCAAAAATTTGCCGTTCGGGAGCCGGCAGAAAAGCGCAAGGGACTTTCGTCGCTCCTCGAACTTCATTGAGAAAACAGCGAATGCTCAGCGACTGTTCTTTCGTGCTCCTATACGTCACTGCGTGTTACGGCGGACGGCAGCAGCCGAGTGAGCCAACGGTACGACAGTGGGAGCTCCCGAGATAGTTTCGCTGTAAATGTGAAGGCGGTGGTGGCTACACGCGCTGTCGGCATTGGGCATGAACAATTGTCGAGATTTTGCTCCATTATTGGACTCCCAAAGCCAATGCACCACCGAGGATTTTTTTCGATAGCAAAGAAGGTGCACACCGCTGCCATGGCAGCTGTGAGTGAAAACTTGCGCCGATCCAGAGAGTTGACAAAAGAAGTAGCAGGCGAAACTGGTGTGGCTGTTATGTTCGACGGCACTTGGCAGAAGAGGGGCTACAAAAGCCACAACGGGATTGGCGCAGTTATCTCCTTAGATACTGGCCTCTGCTAGACTTCGAGGTCATATCAAATTACTGCCTGACATGCAGTAGGCACAAGGATATGGGCCCAGACGAGGAAGTGTGGCAGGCATTCCATGGCCCAGTCTGTGAAAAAAATGCAGACTGTTCCTCCCATGCCATGGAAACGGAGGCTGCAATGCGCATTTGGCAGAGAACATTGACTTATGACACCCCACTGCATTTCATGACATTCTTGAGTGACGGTGACAGGAAAGCATATAGTGCAGTTGCAGAGTCAAAAGTCTATGGTGCTGTCAATATAGAAAAAGAAGACTGCACTAATCATGTGGCCAAGAGACTTGGCACTGTGCTACGGAAGCTGAAGCTGCATGTGCCATTACCACGAGGGCAGAAAATGATAGAGCCAGCCATTCAGAAGCTCCAAACATACTATCAGATTGCCATAACAAGCAACAGGGGGAGTGTACGGGATATGTACACTGCAGTATGGGCTTCCTACTTCCACTCATGCTTTACTGACAATGCTGGCAGCCAC